CCGAGGACGAGCCAGCCTTGCGGTCATGCTTCCCCTTGCAGCCGTAGTTCCAGAGCCCCATGGCTGCGACGCGGCCGGCCGGCGAGTTCGAGGCTAGGGTTTGAGGGTGTGAGGTTTCGAGGAGGCCGCGGGGTGGAGTAGGGAGTGTGGATGACGATCGGTCCACGGCTTTCCCATTTAAGAAGGACCGTGACCATTCGCCTGGGCGGATGACAGGCGGGGCCGGCCGCGCGTGCGCATTGATGTTGGCGGGTGAGAAGTAGGTGACCGCCTGCCACGCGGCCCCGACGCGGACGAGCGACGCGTCCATTTGTTGTCCGTCGTGACCCAAACCCGGCGCATGTTTACGCTCGAAATAGGTCAGGCCGGATACAAAACGGACCAGATGGGTCCGAGCCGTCGTGTGCTGAGCAGTCTGGTTTGTCCTTTCTACCTCAAACGGACGGGCCGTACGGGATGGGGTTGCGCGATGAGTTGGCCTTATCGCTTGGCTCTTGACTTCCTCTTGGATCGGCTGTAAAGGGAAAGAGTGGAGGCTGGGCTCCCGGAGTGGACTTCAAAAGTTGTCGCGTCGCTGAGCTCAGCTTCGACCGCTTCCTTGCAGCTTCCCCCCTGGTTCCCCTGTCCTAGGTTTCCTATAAATTTGCCGACGATATGGCAAGACCCGCCGAATTCATTCGCACTCACAAGCTCGACACCCAAAAGCCAAAAAAAGTTGGTGCACCACGTACTGTCCAGTTCTAGTGCCAGGTTCGAGCTAGCAGAGCAGAGAGACTCACGCCATGGCGCTGGCCACCCCGACAGCCGTGGTGCTGGAGCTGATGACGATGGGGCAGCAGTCCGCGGCGCACCTCAGGGAGCTTCTCCGGGCGGCGTCCCCGCCGGTGCAGGCGGAGCACCAGGCGCTCGCCGCGGAGATCCTCCGCTGCTGCGACCGGGTGATCGCCGCGGTGAGCGCGGGCGCCACCGATAAAAAGAGGAAGGCGACGGACCCTGGCGCCACATCCTGCCATCTTCCCCTCGCCATGATGCCGTCCAAAAGAAGGTACGAGACTTCGATCGCTACTCGCACCGGGAATGAACGAAGAATTTTCTGAATTCATCCGCCCTTGCACGAGGCACGAGTGTTTGACTGACAGGTTTGCCGTCGATTTCGCAGGGTGCGTGGGGCGGAGGCGCACAGAGAGGTCCATGCCGACACGACGGCGGACGGGTTCGTGTGGAGGAAGTACGGGCAAAAGGACATCAACGGAAGCAACCACCCGAGGTACGGACAAGAAATGCCCCTGGTGGTCCGGACAAACGGCAAGCTTGTCGATCAGACAGAGCAGAGCCTGACGCTATTGTTGTTGCATGCAGGCTCTACTACCGCTGCGCGCTCAGCGGCGAGGGCTGCGCCGCGACCCGGCGGGTGCAGCGGTCGCAGGAGGAGCCCGCGGCGTTCGTGATCGCCTACTACGGCGAGCACACCTGCGGAGCCGCCTTCTGTCAGCAAAGGGCGGAGCCACTGCCTCCTACCGTCGTCGACTCAGGCTCAAACGCTTGGGGAGTCTTCGGTGCCGTCGACCGGAACAGGGGCTCGCCTCTGCTGCCGTCGCTCGGAGCCGAGCACAAGCACAGCGCCGTGCGCCGTCACGCCGAGGCGCCCGGTGACACGTCGCGGCGATGGTCGTCGCCGTCGTCCTCCTCGTCCTACTCCTCCGAGGTGGAACTTGGTGCTTCTCCTGTCGAGGGGTTCCTCGATGGCAACTTCGACTGGGAGTGGGAGACCGTCGTCAACTCGCTCAGCTTCGGCGATCTGCTTCACTAGAGCACAGTAGATTGCACGACCTGTGCACTGTTTAGTGGACAGATCTGGAGTACATCGGCTGTCGCAGTGTGACTAATGAGTAGTGATAATGTACGGGGGTGGGTGAGAGGTTCCAGCTGCAAGAGCTTGTGATGTAGAGTTGGCTAATCAAAATGGTTGCAATACTAAGCATTTGTTCAGCAAACGTAGTAGTTAATCAAATGGTTAAACAAATGAGGTAATAGCACCCAAGATCCACAAACTTGCACCGAATGTAATGTTTTAGTCCAAAACTTGCAAAATGTGACTGAGGACTCCACAAACTTGACACCCTATGTGATGTTTTGGTCCACAGCCATTCACAGCGTGACATGTGGCAGTCCAGAGGGTGGACCGGTCAGCTGTGGCAATTTTGCACAAAGGCCCCTGGCGTTCACTCGATTCAACGTCAAGGGCCTTTGTGCAAAATTGCCACAGCTGACCAGTCCACCCTCTGGACTGCCACATGTCACGTTGTGAATGACTGTGGACCAAAACATCACATAGGGTGTCAAGTTTGTGGAGTCCTCAGTCACATTCTGCAAGTTTTGGACTAAAACATCACATTCGGTGCAAGTTTGTGGATCTCGGGTGCTATTACCTCTAAACAAATTGACAAAGTCGGCAATAAGTAAATACTAACTCCGTCCTGGTTTATTGGTCCTCTTAGTATTTTGGGCCAAATTTTGACCATGGATTTAATTGATAAAATGTTAATGCATGTCATAAAAAATAGCATCATTAAAAACTATGTTCGGATATGAATCCAATGATATAATTTTTTATGACATGCATTAACATTTTGTCAATTTAACTTAAATTTATGGTCAAATTTTGGCACAAAATATGAAGAGGACCAATATACCAGAACGGAGGTAATACAGTACAATACAATCTAGCAAACATTAAGCAACAAAAGATAGCATGTGGCTGTCACTGCCAAACTGTTACCCTCAGGCCAAACAGCAACACACTGAGCGAGACAAACCGATTTTCGGATTTCACTGGATATTCAATGTGTTACAACTACGTTGCATAAATAAAGAACATGAATGATGAACAGATTGATACATACTAGAGACCTTCAAGGGTCATTCCTTATTCTGCTTATGCATCTATATTACACGAGGAAAGGAACAAAGGTGAGGGGCGAGTGTGCGAGGCAAGTCTTGTGAGTCCAGGTATCACTGTATAGAGCCACTTCAGAGTTCAGACACCACAGAGTGTGCCTGAGTTGAAGGCTGATGAAAGAAGGAAACCTTAAGGCGAAGGGTCACCATCAATCTTCAGAACCCAAATTTCCGCGGTCATATGATTCATCCATGTGTGTTGTATAACCTAGAGAAGTGTTGTGCCGTGAGATATAGAGCAATTTAGTTCAATCATTTAAGGCACATATGGTTTAGCTAGTTCAGTATCCAAGTGCATATACTATACAACATACACTGGTTTATACAAAAGGATCTTTAGGTGAAACAAGTGAGGTGTTACCATTAGTTATCTGAACTGCTCTCGGTGCTACCTTTGTGGCCACCAGTCACAATGCGATGAATGTAAAAGGTCGCCACCATTCCACTGCAGCACAAATAAAAAATATATAAATATTGTGCATGTTTTTCGTGGTCCAACTCAAAAAAGCTCTAGTGGCCTTTGCAAACAAGCATAAAGTGTTCTCTAAATGAAGTACACAAATAGCCAACTTAATTGCTGAAAGAAAATCTCCAAAAAAATCAGACCGCCTGCAAATTAACAAAATGCTGATTTATTTGGACATAGGTGTCAAACTTCAACCTTCTATGTTTTAATATATTTAGATTGGGCAATCATATGTGCTGATTTGTCTAGAAAGTACTTCCATAGTATCATAGCATTATTTGATTCAACAAATAGAACAGAATAGAAATTATGGGTCATTGTGTTTTGAAGAGCGTGTAAATGTCCAAAATACCAAAATTGGGGAACTAGAGGAGCTCGCCACCCTCGTCCTATCCGCAGGGTGTCACATTTCTACCTAACAACATACAGTTAAGGGAAGGAACTTCACCCCTTAACACGTTTTTAGGGGGAACTAGAGGAAGAACTAGAGCTACCAGACATTTTAGACTTTTAGTTGACGGGGGCTAGTACATATCCAACTAGTATTATTTGACAGCAATTTGTGTCTAATGCTTGACATCAACTATGTGATAGATACTTCCACTAGCTCCATCCTTCTGTTTAAAGGAAACATTCATCACATTTGGGTTGATAATTGTGCAGGTCTTGCACTATAAGACACATTCAAAGTGTAGTAGGCAAACTCAAGGAGTCAAGGGCGAAAAAAGATGAAAATGATGTATTCACCAGTTTCTTTAGTAATCATCAGCTTCTTGTTCACACCTTACAAGTATAACACTATAAAACTACTGAGGTGGTACTAACAGAAGAAGGGAAAAAAGAGGATTTCTAACAGATCAATGAGAAGTGTCGCCCTGTCAAGGGATTGCAGCAGAGGCAATTAATATGGTTTCGGAAAGAACTATGTGGTACAGTGGTAGTACAGTAAAAATGAGAGGTGGTCTATTGCGGAGCACAGGTTGCCAGAAAGGTTGAATGCAAAATTGCAAATAGGTGAGAATATCCACCAAGGAAAAACTGTATACTGTGTAGAGCCCTTGTAGCCACGCGAACAAGCCATTTTATGCAGTCTTGCAGGTATATACGCACAGGCAGAGGAACATAAAAGGAAGCGACGTAGTTCATGACAATAACTGTTTATATATCACTATATGTTTTTCTGATTCTAGAATGAAAGTATTCCTAGCAAGTACAAGGATTAAATGTGTACTGACCTGAGAAGGACCGCGAAAACATTTGGAAACCACCCATGCTGCACACGCACAAAATTCAATTAAATCCTGGCATTGCTAAAAGGCGGAGGTGGAAGCTATCACAGTAGTAATACAATTTGAGCCAAATTAGAAACCTACCCGGAAGAAAACTGACAAGTCCTTGAAGAAGATAACGCTTGCAATAGCTGCATGCCACAAGTCAAGTATGTTGGAATTTTGCAAGTTATTAAAGGAATAACAAACCAATAACTTATCAGAGCTCAACTGATAACTTCATCTTGAGACTATTACTCAATGTGCAACTAGAAATTGAGCCTCACTAGTGTTACACGGTCAAATACAAGTCAATATAAATAATCAGATATATGAATCATACAAGAAGTGCATTACATTATCAATATGAACAGTTGAAACCTTGGGAGGCTCAACTTGAATCTAAATTCCATCATTAATATATGTCCAATATTTGTATGCGTTATGGAACTCAACTTGAGTCTAAACTCGATGTGTGCTATGTGTGGAAACTCCCAAACAATCTCAAAATAATAGTGGATATAGCCGCAGCACCCATAGTCATGTAAAAAAAGAGAAATCAAGATCAAACAGAATCACATCCTCAAGATCAAAAAAAAATCTGCATGAAAAACACTAGCCACTGTACATGCAGAATTTGTCTTTTCTTCAGATCTTTCAGAAGTGATCAATTTTAACACCAAAATTGCATGTGGCCATAAGATACCACCTACTCTATGTTTACAGCATTGTTTGACAGCTTCAGAAAAAAAAACATGTGGCTTTCTTTACACTTGGTTGTGTTTCATTTGGTATTTGCCTTTCAAATATATTTACTATCATTACTGAACTGAACATCAGCTCCAGTAGACAGCAAAAACAATTTTATTGTACTATGGAAAATGTCAAAATAAGTAGTGAGATCTTCTTTTTTGCATGGACCAATTATCAAAGTTAACTGTTTACGCATAAGCAACAATGATCGGTCAAGTTTGCAGAAATAACAAAAGCAATTCTTAAAATCCATTTCAACAGAAAAAAAAACTGAAATCCAGATATATTTAGGGCCTCTTTGATTCACAGTATTCGCAAAATGCAGGAATAGAAAAAACGCAGGAATAGAGTGCCATGCCCTCTTGTATCCTACAGGATTAGCAGACTACAGGAATTTGAATGGAAGAGTGTTTGATAGCACAGAAAAAACAAAGAAATTCTACCAAGAGGTTTGAGTGGATAGAAATTTTCCTCTAAAATGTAGTACAAATTAATCCTATGGAAAAATTCCTAAGGATTCCAATACTGAGAATCAAAGGACCACCGTAGGAAAAAAAATCCTAAGGATCCAAATCCTTAAAAAATCCCATGGATCTCCTTTGGATCAAAGGAGTTATAGTTGCAACAATATCATGCTGGAATACTGGATTCCTGTTGATTTACTTTTAACTAATCTGATTGGATTTTATCGGAAGCTGTCAAATTTAGATAGAGGACATGAGAAGCCTGATGAAAATATTCTTCTATTCGCATGGAAGTCCAAAGCTATTTTGCAATACCCATAGAATTAATAGCTGGAAGCAGTCACCTATTTGCTCTCAGCAGAATTGTGATGGGTCTGATAGTATGCATAACAAAAACTGATACATATCACCTCACTCAACAAATGCAAATAAGCACAACAACATAAAACACCTAGATAGACAAAACAAATAGATCAGTTGAAGAGCAATCTTCTGAACTCAATACATCACAAACAAATGTACTCCTATTTTACTTCTCTTTTCTTTCATTCTGTTTTTCTTAACTTTGCCAACATTAAAACCATGTCACATAAGTATACACATAATACGTACTGGCAGAAGTAGCTATGCCAATGCCACTTCAATCATGAAATAGGGGGAAATAAAATCAAGCAAGGAAAATAATGTGAGAAGAAATGAACTAACCAGCTTGCCCTTTCAGCAGAAGACGAGGCTGACGACCGCCTGCTCTTTGTGATCTCAAACTTGAGATACCCAGAGCCAACAGTGCAAACCCAAGGACAAAACCAAAGCGAATTGCAGATGTGCTTCCAGTTAGCATGAAGTTAAGGAAACCTCCTACAGTAAGAAAGGTACCTACAAGAAGTAATACAGTTCCATTAATACTATTCAATTGCAGCCCTATCATAGCAACGCAGCACCAAACTGTCTACATAACTGATGATCTAACAAAGCCATTTCCTGCATGAGTCACATGTTCGTCAACTTGCAGCATGAGTATAACTTAGATAACTAGAAATGCTACCAACATAATGCCTTTACATACCAAATGAAATGCCGACATGATAATCCTTATACTCTGATGGTCCATTGAGGTTGCCAACTGCATTGATTGTCTCGGTGATATCCTTGATAGAATCTGGGGAGTTCTTAGCTGCCAGCTGTAGATATTCCTGCCCCTCCTCACCAACCTCTGCAGCGATGATGGTCAGGTCCTTTTGTGCTTTATCTGCCTGGATCCTTAGCTTCTCCGAGGCCTCTAACAGCACCTCCCTCGCCCTCTTGGAGTAGACATCATATGCCTGCGTTGTCAGGGCCTGCATTCGGATGGCCTCGGCCTTGAACTGCTTGAGCATTTCCCTCCACACCTCCTGGGCCTCCTCCGGCTCTATTTCAATCTTCTCTGTTTCCTTTTCCTTGTCATCACCCAATTCTGAACTCATCTGAATTCAGCAGACAAAATAACTTGTAAACTTAGCATAATTTGACATCACAGTTCAGCCAAGGAATACGGTATTTAGCACACAGAAACATCGTCAAAAGACCTCAATGCGCTAACAGAAACACCGCTGCAAATATCTCCCATTCGGCACACGAAAAGAATATACTCGCACATTATCCTCAATGCACTCCACGGAGCGAAAATTGTAAAGGCGCGCAGCGATTATTTCAGCCCGTGCGTGGCGAGAGGAAAATAAAATAAAGGGTTAGAAATGCGGGTGAGGTGACCAGCTACAACCTAGCAGATCAGATAGGCAGGGGCGGAAGGAACACGCCTCAGAAGTCAAAACAGGGCATCACCACCGGAAACAGAAAAAACAGGGGAAGGATCTCGGAGAGAGCGGGCACTCACCGGTTCCTCCCCCGCGAGGGCGGCGACGAAGCGGCGAGAACGGGGGGCGGCCACTCCAGCGGCGAGGCGAGCGCCGCCCGAGAGGGCCCGGAGCGAGGCGTCCAGTCGGGCACGGCGGTCGGGGGAGGAGCGCGCGAGGCGCAGGAATGGGGAGGAAGCGAGGGGGCGGAAGGCCGCGCGGGCGGCCGGGTTGGGGCCCGCGAGCGGGGAGGAGGCGGCGGCGTGGAGGAGAGAGGCCGCCATGGGAGGTGGGGCGCTGCGGTCCTCGGGGAGGTGGGAGGAGAGGGGAGGAGAGGGGAGGGAGGGTGGCGAGGGGTAGACCGTAGACGAGACGGCGGAGGCGGACGGCACGAAGGAAATGGGGGCGGAGGATGGAGGAGTTTGGTGGGGTTTCTTCGGGGCTTTTGTTTTGGAGAATCGGTGGGGGACGGGTGCTGTTGTGCTTGGTTCCGTTGCGTTTGCGTGGTGCTTGACCGCTGCGGGGATTTTGCTACAGATTCGTTTCCTTTTCCTTTTCTTTCCTTTTCGGCTTTCGTAAGCAGGCAGCAGGGTGCTGAAGTGAGATTGAGATCCGAGGAGACATGCCGTCCATCCAATGTTCAACCAGGGGGTGATTGTAAATCTCACACATGGTATTGGTACATGGATGTGTGCCCAAATTTGTGTGGAATGCGAGTGCGGTTAGAGTTACCGAATAGCTGTGTGTTTGCATCGAGCACGTGTAATCTGGAGTGTAAAGTTAGCGGTAGATAATCAAACTATAATTAACAAAACATGTATGCAGTGATACAGATCACGAGATCGAACAGTCTAACCGCATGTGGTAGAGATGGTCAAAACCATCTGTGATAGGTGATCGAAGATGTCGTCAGAGTCTCGGTGGGTTCCTTATCGATTATATCATGTCATTTTAATACATAGAGGGGAGGACTCAAGTAAGGGCTCTGGGAGGATGTATGAGCTATTGAGCAGATGGCGTCGACCTACCCTTGGCCTGGTCTTGTAAAAGGGACGAGAGCTAGGGTTTTACAAGGGCCCTAGCCGACCTCGCCATGGGAGCTTCGTGGCTTGCACGCCAAGATCATGTTTCTTCCTGAAGCCGGGCCCTGGATTGATCGATGGGCTAGGGCTAACACCAGACTCCTGGCCCCTGAGGCCAACCCAATGTTAGGCTTCCCAGCCGACGAGTCGCCCACGGTATACTGTATTTGTCAACTAGTTGAACGCCGGTCTTAGATTTCTAAAGAGTGGAATCTGAGCTAGATTTCAAGAAAGGTCATGATCTAGAGAATGAAGAAAACGACGACACAACATGATCTTCTATCTATTGTGTGTGACACTTAAGTTGTCGGTGAGTGTGAGCGATAGAAGTCATGCACTTTTTTTATAGTCTCTGAGAAGCAACTAAAAACAATGGCAATTTGACCAATATCGGGTGTGCATGGGAGGAGAGTACCATGCGGCATATGAGACGTGTAGCCACATAGAGCATACCAATGCACAGTCAAATGTGTGGTGTACTATTGTTAGAGCATGTCTAATAGAGCTCTCGAAAACTCAACCTTCAAAACCAGTTTGAGGGCTGAGAAAATGTCGTTTTGAAGGCCAAAAATCCCTGCCGCAGATCAGTGCCCTCAAACCAACCCTCAAAACAGAATATTCAGTTTTGAGGGTTGGTTTGAGGACACTGATCTGCGCCCCGGCCTTCAAACCCTCAAAACTGGACAGCAACATAAATCACTTCAAATTTGCAAATGATCATCATCACAAACATGAAACAAACTTGTAAATCATCATCATCACATAGTAAATCCCATGGACATCATAGCAAAATATACAACGTGCAAATGATCATCATCACATAGTCATCGGAGACATCATTTGCAAAACATAAAACATACGAACAACTTCAAGCACCGGTGAAGTTGTCCACACCTCCATCGCCTCCACCACTCATCGGAGACTCACCTCGGAGAGTAGACAACGCACCACCACCAGCACCATGCAGTAGCCTCTTCCTCTCGGCGATGTTCTCCTTGTACTCCTTCCACCACGCCAATTGCTCTTCATCCATGTCCTTTCTAGACATCATCATGTGCTCCTTCTCCTCAGCCATGAGCTCCTTCCATGCTTTTGCTTCCTTGAGCTTGATCATCCTCTCCTCCATGTCGGCCTTGCGCTTGGCATTTCTCGCCTTTACTTCCAATTGTGCAAGTTTCACCTCTTTCTTTCTCTCGGTGATAATAAGCTTTGCCTCCAATGCCTTCGCCGCCAATGCCTCCTTTGACTTGATGCCTCCGCTTCCATCTTCATCCTCTCTTTTGCCTTCTTGGTTCCCCCGGGCTTGTCATGGTTTCTTCCTTCTTCATCACTATCATCCATTTTTAGCATATCCGATTTTTTCGATGCACTCTCTTGATCCCTCAATTTCCATTTGTCAAGATGTTGGAGCAATGCCCAACAATGCATGAATGGGAAGGATTTGCCCTTGGAACCGGCCATGTCCTTGTACCTCAAGTCGGCATATTTCTCCTAAGACATATCATCATTGGAAGCATATGAAAATCACAACCAAGCATAACCAACAAGTAAATAAAGCATGAACCAACAAGTAAATAAAGCATGATATTTGTACTCACATAATCACTCTCAACACAGCCACTTGGGGGTTGATCCCTCACTTGATCCATAGTCGCACTCCAACGAGCACAAGCGGGTTTCATCAACTCCCACCGGCCTTGAAGCGATCGGTAAGAATGAGCTCTCAATGTGGCAATCTTGGGTTTCATCTTACAATACTTGTCCTCAATGCGTTGCCAATAACGTTTCCCGGTTTGATCGGTGCCGGTGACCGCATCCAAGCCCACTTGCGACCAAGGCTTGACCAAGAGGACATCCTCAACCTCCGTGTAGTTCGCCGTGCGAATTGGCCTTCGAGCACCACCTCCCGCTTCAAACATTTCCTCTCCGATCTCAGTGACATCTTCATCTTCAGTGCGACACACCAGACAAACGCCATACATAGTTAAATAGATCGACGATGAAGTCACAAAAGACAAAAATAAGAGCGGAGACGACGACACATGCCGATGATGTTTGACTTTTGAGGTGTGACAACACGAGGCGTAGACCTAGAGTGTGGCGGCACTGAGGAGGCTTGTAGCTCCAAACACATCCATGGTGCCGGTCAATTCAAAATGATACATCCGAGTACTTCAGTCGATGGATGCATATAGCGATGTACATATTCGTAAAGTGGAGTTCGTTGGAATGGATACCATGATTTCTCAAAGAAGGGTACATTTTTCAGGTCATGAGGGTCAGCTCCAGTTCTTCTGGATGTAGGAACCAGTAAAATGATGCCAGAGGTTGCTATTTGCGTGCGTTCGCCGCTCTTCGAGCACATGGAAGCACCGTATGTGAATATTTTCTCCCAGACGTGGCGCAGGCACCATGTCAAGAGCAAAACCAACGTGGGCGCAAATGGATGGTTGCTTGATGACACCAAAAGAAGACATACCAAAGCACGCCCAGTGCTGGTTGCTTGGACATGGCAAAAGATCGCAACTGAACTACATTCAGCTTCTAGGCTAAACTTCGTATGACGGTTGCGGCCAAAACCTAGGAATCAAGGACTCGATGTATTCCCCTGTGTGCGAGAAGGGCAAGTTTTGATCAGATTCCAAACAATACCACGGAGAGGGGCAAGATGCAGGTCAGGCAAAAGGAGTTCCAAAAGGAAGAAGTATTGGGCCAAAAAAGAGAGGAGGAACTCGATTCCCATGGCCTCATGCAAACTCTCCAGCGAAGCAAGGTATTGCTTGCTCTACTAAAGATGCAAGTACTTTTTTTTTGCGAATGAAAGATGTAAGTACTTAACTGCTTCAGATCACTTGGTCGTCTCTAAACAGCTACAGGTTTATTGTGGATATGCCGTTGCACAATTATAGAGCAATAATAGTTAACTGGAACCACGGTTAAGAAAACTGAGCAAACCCATTCTCAGCACAGGACCGTGCACTCGGTTGATCACCTTTTGCGCAATAATATCATCAGGGCCATTTCCCCCTTTTTGCGCATAGACAAAACAAAATTTGTTTTCGGATATTATAAGTCAAGAACTGACAACTCTGTTAACATTCAGTAACATTTAATATGGGCATTACGACAAAATGGTACATCCCATTTGTTTTAGTAGCACACCAATGTTTGAAATCAGCATGTTTAACGAGTTGCTCACTTAACATCCGCATTCGGAACTGAGGATCTACATGGACCAGCTGATGTAGTGAATGGTACCCCTCGGAATGTTGCAATTCCATTCTCGTCGGTACGGAGATGCTGGATTACATAATAAAAAGTTATTTGTTAATTCATTCAATGCATGCAGAGTAACTATGCAATAGAATTCAGGAAGGCCTTTCTATATTTGATGGCAATAGAAGGGTAGGTTCTCCAAGGAATGACAAAACTGAGTCGCATTTACTCAAATCATGCTGAATGGCCAACCTTTGATCACCATAAGGTGAAAAATAAGTGAGATAACATCAAAATTGGGCATCGATAAATGCTTACCGGTGTTATCTTGTCCAACTGTTTCTTCTTTGGGTTTAGAACATCTTCTGGCTTCCCATCAAACCTAGAAAATTTGGAAAATTAGAAAACACAACAGTTTTGCTAAAGCACATCTAGATGTGCTATAAGTATCGCACATCTAAGTCCTATATCATTGATTTTACACTAAGATTTGTGCAAGCATTTTCTTTTGTCTTTTTTTCCTTTTTCTTTCTAGTTTGATTGAGCACTTAGATGTGCAATAACTAGGGCACATCTAGATGTGCCCTAGACAGATGCAGATCAAATAGGAACCAAATAACTGCAAGGAGACAATTGAGCATAATTTGACATAAGTGTTAAAACTAAAACATTTTGTTTCGCAGGTGGCCACAAGCGCAGATATTCCTTAAAACTAAAAAACTACCTAACATATCAAATTGCACTTCCAAATATTGTTATTCGGACCAACATATTTTGCAACAGCTTACATATCAACCACCAGAGGTCCAGAACTGCATACTAAATGGCATACCAGATACGTCATAGCTATGGATACAGATAAGAAAACCGAACATAGTAAAAGCTCTATAGAAGTGCACAAACACGCCTTTATAAAATGGGACCCCTTATAAATTGTATAAATTCGTCATTTACAACATATGATTCTTACCCAGCAAAAGAAATGCGCTCTCCAAGCTTGGCTCCTTCCGGAGGAATCAAAGGCTCCACGACTGTATGATCTTTATTTGAAGCACACAAGACCTGGTAATATGTTTAATTTAGAACATGTCGAAAACAAAATTTCGTTTACAGTTTGGACTGAGGGTTGACAACATCAGAAGTCAAAGACAAACACAATGGTAAGGGTTTCACATCATAAATTTATCATTGTTCCACTTCAGATACTGTAACTACATGGTAAGGGTTTCACATCATAAGTTCATTTCAAAATAGTTTATCATTCTCTTCCATGAGTTATAGTGATGATTTTAGAGTCTATCAGTATGAGGTCTAGTAATATGCACATGCCTAGTGAGTTAGCAGTGCACAGCAAGGCTTGCCTGGAGCTTGCGTTTCACCACAGTAGTATTTTGGGGAAAGATGGTAAACAAATTAATAGCCAAAATTCAAGAAGCTTTGCTTAGGGATAGAACACAATTACAATAGGACGCAACAGAGCATACCAATCCAGCAGACATTACATCCCGCAGCTTCCCAGGCTTCACATTCGTGATCAAGACAACATGGCGATTCTTCAAAAGCAAGGGCAAATATTTACAACAGAACACAGAATCATGTATAAGAGAGAAAAATGAACAAGAATCATTCAAGTTCATTGCTGCTGTTGACTACTTACAACAAGTTCATCTGGGCTGAAGAACTTCGCAAGACCACTAACAACTTGACGTACATTGCCATCTCCCAAATCTATCTCCTCCACCAGAAGACTGCAAAGATAACCAGTTGGAATGTCAGAAAGAAGACTGACAAATAAACAGAGGACCTTTTTACAGGTGTTGGAAATTTATTGTACCTGTCAGCTGATGGGTGCTTCCATGCTTTGCGAATAACGCCGACCTGTATATTCAGGATACTAACACTGCACTCAGAATCCTTTTCTGCACTTTTCTGTGGAGCTTTATCTGCAGCTGCCTCTGTTGCTTTGCCGGCAGTTTTCTCTTGGACTTTCTTTTTATCCCCAGAAGGTTTGTTGTTTTTGGCAGAAGTAGGATTTGCCTTATCCCCAGGGATCTTATTCTGACAAGAATCAACACAGCAAAGAAACTCACCAACTAATAGAAAATGACATATTGTACAAGAAATAGGTTCTGATAATGGTGTACAAACATGAAAATCAACACCACAACAAACAACAACAACAACAACAACAACAACATGAAAATCAACACCGCTATGCAGAAGTTGTACTCCCTCCGATAAGTGTTGCAGTTTTGAACTAAGGTTAGTTCAAAACTACGACACTTATTAATGGATCGGAGGGAGTACATAACCAAACATTTTAATACTTACAGTCTTTCATGTTCTCTGGTGTATTGCACAAGTGGCTACATGAATCAGAACAAAGGGTATGTTTAGTTTGGTGCCCAAATTTGCTCGACCAAAATTTTGGCAGCCTATGATATTCTGGGTCTTGCTTGTTTAGTTGCCAAAATATTGGCTGCCCATGAAAGCTAACCTGCTCTCCTTCCATTAATATCTTGCCAAAACTTTGGTCAACAAAGGGTCAAGTAGTCTGATAGTATGACCGGTCTTTTGGGCAGCCAATGGCTGGAAAAAATTAATAGGCCTATGATATAGCAATAGCATCAACCAAACATATCCTATAGTTTACCATGCATTACTAAGGCCAGAAATGCAGTAAAATGGTAAAGTTCCAGCCAAATCTTCACAGCACGATGTACCACGAGTGCCTTCTACAAATAATAACAGTCCAGAAATATCAATAACTAATGTGGATCAGTACCTCCCCTGCAGCCTTTTTGGAGTCAGCAGCTCCATCTGACTTATCCGCAACCTTCTGTCCTGCAACAGCTTTCTTGGAATTTGGTTCACCATCTCCTTTATCAGCTTTCTTTGGGTGCTGTCAAGTAGATTTAAGAAATGGTATGGTTATTTTTATGATTTAAACATAATCATTTTGATAGACATTTTGAGGATAGTTGAAAGAAACAGTGTATCAGTGATTTATCAATTCTCTGAAGATTAATGTTTTCGCACTTTAGTAGTACTAACAATAGTATAGTATTGGTTAGATTCTACAAATGTAAACAAGCACTTATTTAGCAGATCAAGCACAAATTTGATCTTGTAACACAGTAATTAGCAACAGCATGCTACAGGGATAATTTCCCATACAGTTTTGTATGAAGTAAATTAATTTAGAAGGAAAACATAAAATACTTCCAGATCACCAAAAAATTACTTACAGAAGGTGCAGGTGCAGGTGGGTTGAAGATAGATTTGGTCAAGTTTATCTTTTGCAGCATCGTACCAAAATCAACAACATTCTGCATCAAGCAGTAAATTCACATGAGATGATATAAATGCCTGACAATGTGGGCATAATATTAACAACAATCTGGTATTTATTTTTTAGAAGAGACTCCCACCAGCATAAAGCTATGGTTATAAAATGATACTAAAATAACTGCCCAGCTACAAATTACAATATAAACCATGAGTTAGTGTCGAAAGGTGTAAAAGCCAGTTTTACGGAAGTGTGCTGGGTAGGCTTCAAATATCAGATAAAATTGATAGTTGAAAACATGGCTATTTCCAAGATCTGGTCCAGTAATTTCAGATATAAGATTAAAATGACATCATTGAATGGGCATAGTGACTGATAAGAAATGAGACGGAAAACATTGGAGATGTATTTAGTTCTGTGTTGGCAAGAAACTCAAATCTATATGGATTTGATTCTTTGATTCTAGAAGAGATGGTGTGTACAGCCCACAGGAACAAGATAAGACAAAAAATAGATGCCATTATAAAAAAAAGATCCATCTCAAACCTGAATGTAGTCCATCCACCGCAATATATTTGGATATTTCTGCAACTCACTGTCACTAAGATGACACTGAAAAAAGCAATGTACAATTAGAACTTGGGGAAGTAAATGTCTGAAAAGGCATATCTATTGAGTAGTAAGACAGTGACCACAAAAATACATCCCAAATGAAGATATGACGGTGTTCATGTAAATGGGTAAAGTTATAACATACATACCATGAAAACATGCACGGTTGCAAACACAATAATGTCCGCCGCTGATGGTTTGAAACCAGCTAATAGTACCGACATCTGGGACAAATGTTGATTCAAATTACCAAGTAATGCATGCTGTTCTCCATCAGTTAGAACAAAATTGCTGGAGAACTCAACCCACTTCTTGACCTACCAATGAAGAAAAGGAGATTGTGTAAGAGTACATAAGCAGTAGTGAACAGAATTAATGAACATTGCACATACATGCAAAAACAGTTACCTCATCCTGCGGTGAGGTCACGATATGTGAGAATAGGCTCGCAATATCATTCTCCTTGACAAGTGTACTGGATATGCTATTCTGTAATATTCAGCAGATAAATTAGCAACTGTTTCTAGCAATAAAACTCCATGCAAATAAAGCTTGATAAGAGCGAGAAGGGCAAAATTTGTTCATAAGAAGTAGCAAATTACGAAAGATAGCACGGTCATTGTTTTAAGGCGTCCTGCCTTGGACGCTTAGGCGATAAGGCGCCCGGGCAGCGCCTTACAACTATGCCCGCCTTAGGCGCTTAGGCGTCGCCTAGGCGCTAGAGCGGGTGGTGCTCGCCTTAGGTCGCCTTACCGCCTTAAAAACAATGATCATGGTACATAGTACGCATCAAAGTTTGCACATTGTGCACTACACATGTTGGTCCAGGGACCAGGGGTACCCAAAATAGAAGTCATCCCTAAGTTACTCAATTAGTGCCATATCAGACCATGGCCAGCCACCAGAAGAAAAAAATGAGGCAAATGTTTTGAACAAGAGAATACACTACTCCATAAAAATTAAGATATATGACAGAGACTATGCCAAGGAGCAAGGGCATATGCTGCATGTGGTGAAGGCCTCTTTACATCTAAGTATCAAAAATATTGGAGGACCAGTGTTTCAAGCTTCATCTTTGCAACAAAACTATTGAACTCAGTATGTTCTAGCCATGTGCCAGATGGTAGCCACAGAATATGATCTAACTAGGCTACTCAATTCCTTGTCACATTCTTGGCAATCAAACAAGCACCTTTCAGCGATTAGTATAACAAGCATAAGAACAAGAATGTTCTGTTCCAACCCGATTGATAACAATTACTCCGTAACCAGAGAGAAGTACGCAGCCATATTAACCAGGATATTTAGCGCGAAAGATGTATGTTGGATGTCTATAGCTCTTGCATATTAACATATGTTTGACCAAATATAGTTCTACCTCTTTATCTTGCACAAAACATACGAGTAACTTGACATTCTGAACTTATTTAGACAACTCACTTATTTAACAAAATTATGTATTCCGTAACGTATTATTTTTGCACAGCAAAACAATCTCGATAGCAAAACGGACCCCTAACGGGAGAATCTTCATAATATAACAGGTATTATTCAGGCCCCTAACTGATCCAGCAATTTAACTGTCGGTAACTTAGATATCTTCACTTTCCCCAACCAAATCATGTATAAAATCGCCATGCCTAAATTCCACAACGCAGCATAATAACAACATGAGATTTAAGCGACGATACTATGCAAACTTAATTATCGGTGAACTAACCATTCCCAGAGCCCCACAAATCTGCAATTAAAAAATCTCAGCCCGCGCCTGTAAGAATGAAAATCACGCCCACATGACTAGTAAACAGCAAACACGGAACACTATCGCTCCGAGCCTCCGAAGCAACAGAAATCAGAACCCAAAGGTTTTAAGAGTGGAAGAATGGAGGGGCTAACCGGATCGAGGTTCAGGTGCTTGCAGAGCGCGTACGACATGGCCTGCTTGCTCTGCGTGAAGTCCGCCGCCGCCGCCGCCATTAGCAGGTCGAGCTTTTTTCCACGGACAAAGGAGTGATAGGGGAAGTGGAGAAGAGGGATGGTTTAGGGTCTAGTCATTTTGGGCCGCTGGTCCCTTTTTCCTATGTTAAATTTGGACTGTGCTGACGCTTTATTTTTATGGGCTCAGAATATCCTCATGGGCCTTACCAAATGATGGCCCACGCGCGCACCGTGCATGGGCCGGAGCAGCACGTAACATGACCGAGCGGTGTGGATAGCAAAGCAACAGCTGGACGTGAATGCTTTTTCTTTTTTTGGAAAAACTAACACCCACACGTGTGGTATCTTACACATCGCCCACACACCTTCATCACCACTCATTTTGCCACGTAAAAACAGATGACATCAGCAGAAATCTTTTTGTTTTCGGCTTAAAAATGTTTTATCTCCTAATTAAAAAATCAAAACAAAAATCTGTTTTCATCATTAAATCCGTCTTGACGAGATCTTCAAAACTGGACCCCATGTTGATATGTTTCGACGAGAAAAAAAATTGCCCAAGTCATGATGTTTACACTGTAGTTGCCATAATGTTTAAACTAAAGTTGCCATGTGGCAATTTTAATTTTTTTATGATTATAATTCTAGTACTTTAACTATGAAAATTATTTTTTGTATGAACCATGACAATTTTAAGTGCATGTATCATGACAATTTTAGTTTATGGTTCATGGCAAGTCTAGTTTCTTAATTTCCTGATTTATAATATATCAAAATTTACTTTTAAATGTAGAAGAAAATAGCTGAAACATATCATGGCAACTTCAGTGTAAACATCATGTCAATTCATGTGCAATAGATATGGCAACTTTTAACTCAAAAAAAATTATCGAAATATATTGATATGGGATCTAGTTTCGAAGATCTCGTCGCGAGGGATTTAATGGTGAAACCGGATCTTTAATCGAATTTTTCATTTAAGAGATAAAACATTTTAAAAACTAAAAATCCAAAAAGATTCTCACATGCATGCATGCGGTGATGTGACGCAGTCCGTGTGTTATAAAGCGTGTGGACGGTTTTGGTTCCAACCACACGTGTGAGCGTTAGCGTTGTCCTTCTTTTTTGAGGGGACGCCTTTTAGGCACTTTATTGATTGAAGGAGGACATCTATTTGTACTTCCTATTTCTCAAAAAAAAATCTATACTTCCTCTGGTCATTTTTTCTTCGCATATAAGATTTGTCCGAAGTCAAACCTCGTAAACTTTGACCAAGTTTATTAAAAAAATATCAACATTCAGAATGTGAAATCAACAACATTAGATGCGTCATGACTTTAGTTTTCATATTGTATACATTTAGCATTGTAGATGTTAATATTTTTTCATATAAAATATGGTTAAATTTTATGAAGTTTGACTTCAGACAATTCTTATATGCAAAGTAAAAAGGACCGGAGGGAGTACGGTGCAACCCCTCAAAAAAATATTTGTACACTGCAAGGCAGTGAAGGAAGTGTGAAGTGCCATGTGAAAGGAAGTTGTCAGGATGAAGCTCGAGACCTATCACCGAAAATGGAGGACCGCGTGCAAATTTGATAGTTCTGGTGAGAATGGTGGAATGAGAGGAACTGAATCAGGAAGAATGAAAGGAAGGGTGCACCCAGAGGAGATCGCACACCGAACATATGTGGCCACCATGGAATATTGGGAAGTTGTCGGAAGACCTAAGCAGAATCCGCCAAATGAGAAGGAGAAATGGAGGCTGCCTGAAGTTGATGTGTTGGAGTTTAATATAGATGGGGCTCATGCCAGGGAGCTCAAAGTCTGCATGGGTGGTAATTGCCCGAGACCATAATGGGGATGTAGTTGCATGCATGGCTGGCAAAGTTGAGCATGTATCTGCTGCTTTCGCAGCAAAGCTTCACGCGGCAGCGGCAGATGTGGAGGTAGCCTCGCATCTCAAGGGGTATGAATCTGCATCGAGACTGATTCCCAGCTCCTACATGTAGCCCTACGATAATTGCACCAAGCTTCCATGGTTACGCATCAGCCCTGGAGGACCCAAAGATCTAGATGCGGCTTTGGTCCTCAAAATGTGATGTTACTGCATGTAAGAGGGGGGTGATACGTCTATTTTGCATCATACTTTTATATTGATATTTATTACATTATGGGCTGTTATTACACATTATATCATAATACTTATGCCTTTTCTCTCTTATTTTATAAGGTTTACATGAAGAGGGAGAATGCCGGCAGCTGGAATTCTGGACTGTAAAAGGAGCAAATATTATAGACCTATTCTGCACAACTCCAAAAGTCCTGAAACTTCACGGAGAATATTTTTGGGAATATATAAAAAATATTGGTCAAAGAAAGCACCAAAGGGAAGCCATCAGCCAGCCACAAGGGTGGAGGGCGCGCCCCCCGTCCTTGTAGGCCCCCTGGCGGGCCTCCGACGTCCATCTTCTGCTATATGGTGTGTTTTGACCTGAAAAAAATCAGAAGGAACCTTTCGGGACGAAGCGCCGCCATCTCGAGATGGAACCTGGGCAGAACCAATCTAGAGTTCCGGCGGAGCTGTTCTGCTGGGGAAACTTCCCTCCGAGAGGGGGAAATTGAAGCCATCGTCATCACCAACGATCCTTTCATCGAGAGGGGGTCAATCTCCATCAACATCTTCACCAGCACCATCTCCTCTCAAACCCTAGTTCATCTCTTGTATCCGATATCTGTCTCAAAACCTCAGATTGGTACCTCTGGGTTGCTAGTAGTGTTGATTACTCCTTGTAGTTGATGCTAGTTGGTTTATCCAATGGAAGATTATATTTTCAGATCCTTAATGATAATTAATTATCCTCTGATTATGATTATGAATACGCTTTGTGAGTAGTTACGTTTGTTCCTTAGGACATGGGAGAAGTCTTGTTATAAGTAATCATGTGAATTTGGTATTCGTTCGATATTTTGATGAGATGTATGTTGTCTTTCCTCTAGTGGTGTTATGTGAACGTCGACTACATGACACTTCATCATGATTTGGGCCTAGGGAAAGGCATTGGGAAGTAATAAGTAGATGATGGGTTGCTAGAGTGACAGAAGTTTAAACCCTAGTTTATGTGTTGCTTCGTAAGGGGCTGATTTGGATCCATATGTTTCATGCTATGGTTAGGTTTACCTTAATTCTTCTTTCGTAGCTGCAGATGCTTGCGAGAGGGGTTAATCATAAGTGGGAGGCTTGTCCAAGGAAGGGCAGCACCCAAGCACTGATCCACCCACATATCAAATTATCAAAGTAACGAACGTGAAATCACATGAGCATGATGAAAACTAGCTTGACAATAATTCTCATGTGTCCTCGGGAGCGCTTTGCTTTATATAAGAGTTCATCCAGGCTTGTCCTTTGCTACAAAAAGGATTGGGCCACCTTGCTGCACCTTGTTTACTTTTGTTACTTGTTACTCGTTACGGTCACACAACTATCTGTTACCGATAATTTTAGTGCTTGTAGAGAATACTTTGCTGAAAACCACTTGTCATTTCCTTCTGCTCCTCGTTGGGTTCGACACTCTTACTTATCAAAAGAACTATGATAGATCCCCTATACTTGTGGGTCATCAAGACTCTTTTCTGGCGCCGTTGCTGGGGAGTGAAGCGCCTTTGGTAAGTGGAATTTGGTAAGGAAACATTTATATAGTATGCTGAAATTTACTGTCACTTGTTACTATGGAAAGTAATCCTTTGAGGGGATTGTTCGAGGTATCTTCACCTCAACCGAAAGAGCAAAGAGTTGCTCCTCAACCTACTGCACCTACTGAAAATATTTATTATGAAATTCCTTCGGGTATGATAAAGAAACTGCCAACTAATCCTTATGCAGGAGATGGAACATTACATCCCGATATGCACCTAATCTATGTGGATGAAGTTTGTGGATTATTTAAGCTTGCATGTATGCCCGAGGATGTTGTCAAGAAGAAGGCCTTCCCTTTATCTTTGAAGGGAAGGCATTGACATGGTATAGGCTATGTGATGATATTGGATCATGGAACTACAACCGATTGAAATTGGAATTTCATCAGAAGTTTTATCCTATGCATCTGGTTCATCGTGATCGGAATTATATATATAATTTTTGGCCTCGTGAAGGAGAAAGTATCGCTCAAGCCTGGGGAGGCTTAAGTCAATTTTATATTCATGCCCCAATCATGAGCTCTCAAGAGAAATTATTGTTCAAAAATTTTATACTTGTCTTTCTCATAATGATCGATCCATGCTCGATACTTCTTGTGTTGGTTTTTTTATGAAGAAGGATATTGAATCCAAATGGGATTTATTGGAAAGAATTAAACGCAACTCTGAAGATTGGGAACTCGACGAAGGTAAGGAGTCAGGTATAAAACTTAAGTTTGATTGTGTTAAAAAAATTATGGATACCGATGCTTTTCATGATTTTAGCACTAAATATGGACTTGACTCTGAGATAGTAGCTTCTTTATGTGAATCCTTTGCTACTCATGTTGATCTCCCTAAGGAAAAGTGGTTTAAATATCATCCTCCCATCGAAGTTAAAGTAGTTGAACCTATTAAAGTTGAAGAAGAAACTATTCACTGGTGCGCGCCGGTGCTATACAAATGGTTTTTAACCCCTTTCCCCAACGGCATTCAGAACCATCGCTAAGTGAGTGTTGGCGATAGGGGGGTCCTTCCCACACGACCCAGAAATCGTCCGGGATAGGCCCTCCTGGGACACAGGCTGGGGCCATGTGCGATCGGGCGAGGCATCGAAACCCAATCATTTCCGTAGGTATGTACACCCCACACGGTAATCCGAGAAAAACATTTCCAGAGGTATGTACATCCCACACGGTGAATCTTAGAAAATCATTTCCGTAGGTATGTACATCCCACATGGTCAATCCAAGGAATACATTTCCGTTCTTATGTACATCCCACACAGTCAATCCAGGGAAAACGTTTCCGTTCGTACGTACATCCCACACAGTTTTATGTGTAGGATCGTGTGTGAAAGGTGT